ACAGAGAGAGGGGTACTGACAAGAGACATGGGAGTAAGATGGCATGGCCCTGGCAGAAGACGGAGCCTACCTACTGGTTAACATAGAGAGGTGTGGGCGGGGTTAGGGAAGCAAACATGGGTGTGGAGGCCCTGAGAGACCACTCCTAGGCCTGAAGGGCAAAGAGAGGAGTGTCTTCCTGAACCTAGAGAGGACTGGAGCCATGGAAGGAGCCAGCTACAGCCAGAGAAACAGCACGGACACAGTGGCAGCAGGGAGCACATGCCCCAACTTCTCTCTCCTGGCACCTTCCAATCTCCTGGTGGTATCTTCAGATCCAGCCAGAAACCAGAGGGTAAGGGAGCCCAGAAGTTGCTAACTTGGGATCCTACCTCTGAGAGGACAGAGAAGGCAAAGGACAGGACTTGGGTGGGGGAGACAGGAAATGGGCTTGGGGAATGACTAAAAGAAAGAGTCAGGGGAGGATTCATTGGAGACTTGCAGATCCCTAACATGGGTGACAGGTGGATAATGGCACTGCTCCCTGAGTTGGGAAGAAATGGAGCTGCTCAGGGGAAGCTGATGGGCTCAGCTTTGGCTATGAGTGTGAAGGTTTTATGGGACAGCTAAGTGTTACCTAAGTCTCCAGTGACAGGGACATATGCCCGACTGGAGCTCAGAAGAAAGATAGGAACTGGGGAAGAGGTAAGGGTATTGTCAGCACAAAAGTGGTTGAAGCCTGAAAGTGAGGGTGGGGAGTGATAACCCAGAGAGCCCTTAAATCGGAAGTCTGAGCCTTACGGTCCACTCCCATCTGAAAGGGGTTGAGAGGAAAATAATACATCCCTTTTGCAGAGGCCTAACCAGCGCTGACCCTGAGCAGAGCCAGCCTGGGATGGGCAGCTCTGTGGGGGTCCCAAAGTTCTGCTCTCAGGGTCTTTCCTCTAGTGTGCTTTCATCGCTGTCTGAAGAGCTGTCTCCAAATGGGACATGAACCCACTCTGATCTTCTTGAGGAAGAATATGTTTCAGCTTTTATTTACTTTTTGTAGAAAAAAATGAAAGCAATTAAGCTTTACTAATATTTAATACTTGAGCTAAACTGGGGCCCAGCTCTGTGGGTGTGTCTAGTGGTCTTTTATGCAGAAACTCTCTGAAGAATCGAGTGTTAGTCAATCCATCACACCAGAGAGTGATGGGGCATAGTGTTGACAACTCCCAGCTCAGTAATTCACTAGAAGGATTCAGCATGAGTGATACTCAGTGATGATTTATTACATCGAAAGACCATAAAGAAAAATCAGCAAAGGGAAAATGTTCAGGGGCTGAAGACTGGGGAAAACCAGGGGCAAGCTTCCAAGAGCCTCTCCCAGTGGATTCACACAGGATGTGCTTAATTCCCCAGCAACAAATTGTGACAACACGTGAAATGTTGTCTACCAGGGAAGCTCACTAGACACCCAGTCCCTTCAGGATTATTATCAGGGGTGGGTGCCTAGCACAGACCAAAATCCCAGACTCCCAGAGGGAAAGCAGGTGTGTCACATGGGCCAGGTTGTTTGCATAAACAGTTCAGGCATAGAGTCACTCTGATCATTGAGGGGATGGTGGGAACCCTATCCAAATCCAGGTTCACAGACAGCAGCCTAATGGTCAGCCTTGCCAGCAGGCCTGTCTAAGGACACAGTCCACTACGCCTGCATCTCTTTTCTGCCCAATACAGTCTGTGGCAAGATGTTGCAGTTTCCAGATGCCAGCTTCAATTTATATGATTTTTAGCTAACTTAACTAATTTACTCTCTATCATTGAGTCTTAATGAATTTAGCCCCCACAAAATAGACAAGTGGCCTGAAAATGATTACTTGAAAAAGAACACGCATAAGTCAAGCAAATATAATGCTAAGCACATTGGAGTGATACTTCTACCTGAAACAGATCTGTGTCAGCCACATGATGAGGTAAAAATGATGCTATTATTTCATCCTTGACCATCCTTTTTAAATGTCCATGTTCTGTGTATGTTTGTGTTGAAAACTGTGTGTTTTGCTTTTTTTTGTTGTTGTTGTGGGGGGTTTTTTTGTTTGTTTTTTTCCTGGTAGGAGAACATGATCAAAATGTATGAAAGCCATTGGTCTCAGCACTGGCAACCCATTTGCTTTGGAAGTGTGTTGAGATCACCCAGGATAAGGTCCTCAGGCTGGTCAGCCACCTGGTGTGTCCTGTCCCTTTGACAGCTGACTCCTGGCCATGGATGAACCTGATTTGGGTCTAGGAGTCTCCGTTTGGGGAGGAGGGAGCACAGTGTGGGCGAGGGAGGGCTTCACTGGGACCAGGCACTGAGCTCCAGGCTCAGCTCTGGCGTAACTGTGTGGTGTAAATGACAGAAACATCTTAAACGCTATCTCAGCTTCCTCACCAGCAGAGTGGTTTCTTCGCTTAACTGACAGCTCTAAAAGCATCACCCTGGTTTTTGTTGTTGTTTTGTTTGTTTGTTTGTTTGTTTGTTTTTATCCTATGTACTTAGCCTCTGGTCTAATAATACAGTATTTGATTTGTAATGGTTTAGACAGGATTTTTCAACTTGCAAAAATGTTTCCCATTCAGTAGAGACCTAATCTGAATTTTGAATTTTGATCTTTTTCTGGACTAACAATATGTGGTACATTATTCTCTCACTAGAGGCCCGGGTCACAAATTCGTGCATGGGTGGGGTCCAGCAGGCATGCCCAGATTGAGGCTGATTGGGGCAGGGCTGGTCCAGGGGAGGGGATGCAGGAGGTTGGCCAGCCAGCCCCACCCCCAATCTGCTGGTTGGCTGGCTGCAGTGCACCTCATAGTGACTGGTCATTCCAGTCATTCCAGTCACTTGGCTTAGATATTATAGATAGATGATAGATAGATAGATAGATAGATAGATAGATAGATAGATAGATAGATGATGCTGGGCAGCAGAAGTGAGATAATAGAAGTGTTCTTAGCACTTTAAAGTAGACTGCTAGGCTAAGCTAGAATGGTCAGTAGGTTAGGTGTATTAAATGTATTCTCACTTACAGTGCATGTATTGAGACATAACCCCATTGTGTAAGAGGAGAAACACCTGTACTTACTCAATGAACATAAGGAATGAACAATGTATGAATGAGATGATCTTTAAGATCTAATAGACTAGGCATTTATATCTAGTCATTACATGAGCTCAAGTTTAAATTTGCAATAATTGGCTCCTTCTTCTCTTTGTTTACTTTCCTTGCATACTGGTATTTTAATATGGGTGATACTGAGACTATCCTATATGCCTTCTTTGAAATAAAATTAAAAAAGGTAAGTGCCCACGTGTACATTGTCAGCATTCATATCTCACATGTCCATGTTTCTGAAAAATAACTGTAATGCTGTCATCCTTTCTGAACTTAGAGGGTTCAGCATTGCAGTCTTGTTCCTATTTTCACAAATAAAGTAGAAAGGGGAAATGCTTTGTCTCTGAAAAGCTGGAGAGCCAAGTTTCCAGAAAGGCAGAGGAAGGGACTTCATGAAGGGACTTGGCTGGAATATTTCTGGGACTTCCTGCACATGCTGACAGCATATTGGGCTGGGCAAATCTTCTATGTCCAGTTCCTCTGGACACCAAGGGCCTGACTTGTTTGGTCTAGCCTGGCTGCCTCTTTTACCACATCCACCTTCTTGCTGTGTTCAGCTGAGGCAGGTGAGGGTGTTTCAGAGGAAATTTAGCTCAACAGAGCTGAGGAAAGGCAGAGGAAAAACCAAAGCCTAGAACTAGAGTTCACAGAGCAGACAGCTTTTTTGTCCTAGTGAGCAGAAGGCCCTAGTGGCACACAGCCTGGGGCTGGGCCCAGCCTGGAGCTAGGCGAGTGTCCTGGGTATTGGAGGGTGTCCAGTCCAGCTGGTGAGGATGAAGTCTGGAGAGGCTGGCCATGATGGCAGGGCAGGCAGGGAATGGGCATTCAGGAAGCACCCAAACTTAACAGATGGTGACTGGCCCTTCACAGCCTAGAGGGATCCAGGCTATTGGTGCCTATTGAGACTGGCAGTTCCCATCAGTCACCAGCCCAGGGCTGGGAATCTTTGTCCTGGAGAATAGGCAACAGCCAGACAGAGCCTTAGTCCTGAGCCTTAGTCCATGGTCCAATGTGGGCTCAGGGGCCAAGCTGGCCTAGCGCTGAGTAACCAGACTCCTGAGGTCGCAGTACAGTAGGCACTAAGTGGCCTAACTGTGGTGGGAGGGCTGGGGTAGCTGGGCAGCAGAATCCAGGCAGCATCCGCTCCTCTCTTACTCCAAATGCCTGAGGAAAGAGGCCATGGGGGGAGTGGGAAGGTCACAGCCCTTTTCCTCTGGCCTCCCTCCCTAACTGAGCAGCCCCTCATGATGGCTTGGAACTGGCCTGGTGCACAATGTGTCCTCCAGGGCCAGCTCTAGCCAAGTCCTGCCTTTTTCTACCAAAGTGCTGGGTTTGCTGACCACTGGAGAAGGCCCATCACAGGCTCGTTCACCTGTGGCTCAGTTACTTCCTCCACCCACTGCCCAAAACACAGGACCCACAGAAGAGGTTGCCACTTGGTCTCCTGTAGATTCAAGTGAAGAGACAGAGAAGGCAGCAATTATGTTCCCTTCTGCAGGTCTGTCTCCCTCCATGGAAGGCACTCAAGGAAGAAAGGAAAGAGGAAAGGCCAGAGGGCTGTCCTGGGGCTCTCAGCGGTCCCTCAGCGGTCCTGGGGCCTTTCATGCCTCTCTCTGTGGCCGGCTTCCTCAGGGCTTCATCGAAGGCAGGATTTGAATCTCAAATGCCTCAGTGCCCAGGGCCTTGGATCCAGCAAGTGGTTGATAAAACTAAATGTCTGTCAAATTGAAATGCGATTGAAAGGCTGTTGATACTAGTAAAACTCTATGAAACGCAGAGTTGGCCGTGCCCATCCTCTAGAGTCCCCTTGTTGGGAAACTCTCCTAAATGACCGGTTGGTCCACCTGGGAGATGTTAATGCTTGTGTTTTCTCATGGCCTCTAGGTCAGGACCTGGATTCTCACCGTGGGCTACACAACTGCCTTCGGGGCAATGTTTGCAAAGACATGGAGGGTCCATGCCATCTTCAAAAATGTGAAAATGAAGAAGAAGGTAATCACCCCTTCTGTTTCAGGGTGTCTGCACTGTCCAGTTAGCATTTACTTAACAAATATTTATTAAGCATCTATTATGTACCAGGCACTAGACTATTTGCTGGGAATTCAAGATAAACACAGTCCCTGCCCCATCCCTTCAGTCACTTGGGAAAATCAAGCAGTTAGCAAAGATCGTCTATAGAGACATTTATGGGGCAGGGTGCTGGGGTACAAGCAATCAGGGAAGGCTTCATGTAGTAAGTGTCACCTTGCTGAGGCTGGAGGGTGAGTGGGGATTAGCCAGACAGAGGATGGGAAGTTTCCAAGCCCTATCGAGGGAATAGTGCACAGAGGCCTGGTGTATTCTGTTGCTGAAAGAGGCTCAGTGTGGCTGGGGCACGGGATTCGTGGGGACGGTACAAGAAGAGGTTCCTGGGGAAGGCAGAAGTCATAGTAAGGAATCTGAACTTTTTTTGGGGGGGGTGGGGGGGGCACTGGGATCCCTTAAAAGAAAGGAGTGACACAGGGCAAGGACCTGGTTTAATCATTCCATGTTCAAAGAGGCCCTTTGAAGACAGGAGTTCTGTCTTCATGTGTGTGGAAAGCATTTGTCACCAGCATGCTGACTAAGCTTGATGCTAACGTTGTCAGAGAGAAACTTTCTCCACCACTGTCCCTTTAACTTCCAGTGGTGCTGTTCCTCCCTTGCTCCTAGATAAAATTTGGGGCAAGTCTCATGACTTCGAAGGTCCTCTATCAGCAACTAATATTGGAATCTATCATAATATTCCCAATTTCAAACTGCATTCAAGGCACAGCTTCTCCCTCCCCAGCTCAGCCCTGTGGCAGGCCTGCCTCCTGCCCGGGGAGAGGGGGTGCAAGTGGGCTGTTTTTGTCTTTTACCAGCTCATTCCCAAGGTTTCTGAACCCTCCCGAGTTGGAGCTTGGAGTAGTAAAAGGGGCAGGAATGACCTTACTTGCCAATAGCTGACATCGGGCTTGCTGCCTGAAATGGATTAAGCAGGCCCTTCGACTCTCTGGGTGTCTTTGTGGGTTGTCCAAAGGCCCCAATCCTGGGACTTTCTCTCCAGCAGTGCCCTTGTCATGGGCGAAGTGCTCTGCCAGTTGGCTATTGTGGCTTCTTCTTCCACCCTGAGCATCTGGCGGTTCCCCCACTCCTGGGCTCAGCTCACCCTCCAGCTTGTCTTGTTCAGCGCCACACAGCACTCCTTTGCCCTATGAGCCACTTCTGCTGTGCAAGAGGCACTCACACATCCTTCACTCATAATCTCAAGGATTTTGGATTGACTGCACTGTAACAGACGCCCCTCTTTTTTGTCTTTCCCCCCCACCACCACCTCAAGGGCAGCTGGCTAGCCTGCCATCCCCTCCCATAGGCTTCTCGAACAACAAACATAAGTTCATTGGGTGCCCCCCACCCCCAGGCTGCAAGAACCCCTATCGGTCAAGCCCCCTGGATGCTCTTCTTAAAGCCTCTCTCTTGATTTGAGGTCAAGGAGGAACCATCCCCACCCACTACCCTCTCACCTTTGGAGAGGGAGGTCTCAGAACATCATGACACCAAAAATCCTCTCCTTGATTCAACCCCACTAGAACCACACACACACACACACACACACACACACACACACACTTACTTCTTAAACCCATGACATGGGTATAACCTATTTACAGACATCTCATCTCCCCTGCATTGTGGTCTCATCCCATTTTGGAACGTGGTGCTTGTTGTTCCGATTCTTCAAGCTTGCGTTTGCCATCTGGTCACTGGGTTACGAGCCCTGGCACCTGGGACAGACAGCAGGTGTGCCCAATGCAGAGGAGCCAGCAGGCAAAGTAGGAGAGTGGGCATCTACTCGCTGCTTCATCACTGACCTGCCGTGGGACTTCAGACAAATCTCTTCATGTTTCAGAGCCTCTATGTCCTTATCTATAAAATGAGGACATGTTGAAATGACGTTGTTTCCTGAGCTGTGATTCTGCCTGGCGCCCAGGGGTGCCTCTTGCTGGTCAACCTCACCACTCACCTTTTCCACTGCCAGCACTGCTTTGGGAGCAGCTCTCCAGTTTGGGGGGTAGAAGGGGGTAATCCTCCCTTCTCTGTCCCCTGCCCCTTAGAAAAGCTGCAGGCTGCATTCAGAGGGCAGAAAGAGCCCCACTGCGCATGCTCACCTGTAGGGCCCCTTCCCTCCTTTCCAGCACTTGTGTAAGATGAGAAGCTGGTTAGCCACCATTGTCAGCCCTGGCTGCACATTACAATCAAACGGGAGCTTTGAAAAACTACAAGAAGTAAGCCAGCCCAGGCCAGCTGAAACCAAACCCTAGGGCGGGGGCTGAGCATCAGGAGTTTTGGGATTGTCCTAAGTGATACCAGCTTATTCCCAGATCAAAGCTACACAGAGTGAGGGCTGGACCAGGAAGAGCAGCATCAGCAGCATCTAAGAGCTTATTAGAAATACAAATTCTCAGTTCCACGCCTTCCCCCCCGCCCCCCCTTCCCGGCCCCAGCCCTGGGAATCCTGGTTGGAGCCCAGGAGCATGTTTCCACCAGCCCTTCCCAGGACACTGATGCAAGCCAAAGTCTGAGAGGCACCTAGGGACTTCTGCCCTCCTGCTCTGTGGCTCTGGTTAGAGAGCGGCTCTGCCACTAGGACACTGGCTTTGAAGAATCAGTGTTGATTCCTCTGTGCCAACATGTGATTCATCCATATTGTGATCTGTAATAAAGACCAGCCTTTATGTTCCATTGCTCATGTGATCGGTGAGCAAGAACACTGATTGTCTGGTAACGACTGACAAAACATGTCAAGAAGACTATAGGAGTGAGTTGTCTGAAAGCTCCCCAGAGACAGAGCTGTGATGTGGCCACACCCTGCTGCGTTGCCTGAGCCCAGGGGAACCTGCTGCACCCCTGGGAGTCTGGGCACCTGAGAGCTCCCCCTGGTGGTGGGCCCAGGGTCTTGCCTGAGAAACTGCAAAAGGCGCTGAGTACAGATTTGGTCACCAGTTGTGTCTATTGTGCAGAAGATTAAGGCCAGATGAGCACACCATTCCATCGTGAGACACTCTTTGCTCTAGGTTTCCTAGTTATTCCAGGGGCAGGTTTGCAGTGCCGAGTTTACAAACCAAATTAGAGGAGGTTCAAGGTGGGAAAGAGAAATTTGTGTCTTAATCGGAAACTCAAATCTGGGAACCTTTCTATAAAACGGGGACATGTTGAAATGACATTGTTTCCTGAGCTGTGATTCTCCCTGGCACCCAATTGTTTTGAAAGTGTGTGGTAGTTGCAGGTCAAAACTGGGATTGAATTCTCCATGATTTTCTTCTATATGGCCAAGATGGTTGTTTATTATTTAGTTTCATTGTGTGTTTTTTTATTTTAGACTTTTTTTATTATTAAAATGGGCCCCTTGATTTTGTTTTACTGACATATATACTAGATTTACAAAAGTTTGTAAATGCAATGATACACCTTTTTATATAGTCTTTTTATCTATTTCTTCTTTCCCTGACTTCCACCTCCTTCTCCTTCCATCCACAATGGCATGCCCTCCCCAAATGCACATACATAAACTCCACCCAAATGGCTAGATTTTTTAAGACATTAAAGGAAAAGTAGTCTATTGACATGTGGTGACTAAATGCTCCCAAATTCAGTATTTTTATAGCATTTACTCTTTTGTCTAAGGGCCAATCATAAACTCTTGAATTGAGAAGCCTTATTGCAGTCTTTATTCTGCCTCTTACTAGAGCCGAACTGAAATGAGATGAAAAAACGCAACTCAGCCACAGAGTGGGGAATGGTTAAGCAGCAATGAAGTGCACTTACTTGGGGAGTGGTCAGACCGAGCTTGGGAAAGGCTTGAATGCCAAGCAAAAGAGCTTGGCAGGATTGATCCTGTGCATGGTGAGGAGTCACAGGAGACTCTGGAACCAGGGTGACATGACGTGGTCCCTCCCTCAGCTGCCATCCAGGAAGCTCCTCTGTGATGTTGCAGTGCTGCCTCCATTGCCTGATGTTCCCTCCTCCCCAGCCCCCAGTGGCCCCCAGCTTCTCCTCTGTGAATCCACTTCCTCTCCTCCAACACCCTCTTGTAATCATCCATGACAAGTCTGTCTCTCCTGCCGACCCTGGAGGGCAGCACCGGAGTCTGTCTATCTCTGTGTCACCACTGCCCAGCACAGGGCCTGGCACTGAGGGAGTGCTTGGGGCATGTTTTATTAGAGCATTATCCATCAGCCCGTGCTTATTGAGTACTTTTTCTCTGACAGGCTCAGACAGATGCTAAGAATGGGGCAATTAGCAAAAACCAAACTGTACAGAGCTCACAATGTAGGATGACAGACATGAATCAAATTATTACAAATATAGGGTGAGGTGGCTACTTGTGGGGACATCAGGGTAGGAGGGTGCCAGTAGAAAGGTTGGGGAAAGACCTTCCAGGGGTCAGGCACAACACGGGCAAATGCCCGGGGGACTCAAACCACTCTGGGCGAGCATCACCCTGCGAGCCTGTCCTCCCAGCCCTAAACTCCTCAGGCATTTCTTCCTTTTGGCCCAACCTCTCAAGGCTGGCAGGGAGTTGTTTAGCTTCCCAGAGGGCAAAGGTTAGCTGGGTTTATGAAAAGCATCAGCGGTTCCTTAGATGCTTCTGGAAAATGTCAAGGAGGGGGCTTCGCCAGCTCCCACCCCAGGTAAAGTGGTTTTGGTAGATTGGATCTCTTCAGCAATAACTCAGAGATACTTTCTTCCTGTTCCTTTCATGGTTTGGCTGCAGAGAGGCCCCTTGAGTTTCTATTTCTCCTTTAAAAAATGGTTTAATCATTAAAAGCCAGACCTGGCGATATATCTTGAGCTTCTGCCTCAGCTTTGTTGATTTTTCTATCATCTTTTCGAGAACTACTTCTTCACATTAGCTTTTATTGGAGGTGGGGGTGGTACGTAAGCATGCAACGAATGAAACACAAGTTAGCTTTGCTGCTGACAGTGTTTGTCCCCAGGCCAATCCCTATCAAACGGCCAGAAAGTGGGGTGGGAATCTCACAGTGCAATAAAAATATCAAAGACTGCAAAGACGGGTGGAAGTTGTATTTCTTTTTATATTCCTTCATCTCAGTGCAATCCATCAAACTCCCTACTGCGTGCCAGGCCCTGGTAGGTACTGAGGGTACACAAATAAATGTTAACTGAGAAGGGCAGACGTGTATCCAACTTAATATAATGTTGGGTCGGCGCTGTAAATATTGGAGGGTATGGACTCTGGAGATGGGAGAAACATGGTTCAAATCTGGGTTTCACCTCTTAGAAGCAGTATCACTCTGAGCAAATTACTTAACCCCGCACTAGCCTCAGTTTCTTCATCCATCAAATGGAAAAAACAATGTGTGTATTTATATTTGAGATTGATGTATGTGAAGGCAGATTGTTCTTAGTACTATTACTACTCCTAATGAAATACCTGGGCAGTGATATAGAAGTAATTACTTTTGCTGTCGGAGTGAGAGAGGGCTTCGTGGAGGAGATAACAATGGATCTGGGTCTTTAAGGTTATTAGGAGTTTGAAACGAGTGTTTTGGACAAAAGAACCAGCCCCTAAATAGGAGTAGGAGGTGAACATCACAGCAGGGTTACAGCCTAGGAGTTGTCAGACTTAACTAAGTTCAGCGTGTGTGTAAGCGAGGCCAAGCTCTGGAAGGACCTTGAATGTCCAGCAGGGAGCTTGGCTGGTTTATCCTGTGAATGATGGAGTCTCAGGAGATACTCCCACTGAGGTGACCTGATTCCATCACTCCCTGACTCCCTCACTTCTATCTGGGAAGTTCTCTGTCTCACATGCACTGCGTTCTGCTCTCGCCCTCTCTGCAGATCATCAAGGACCAGAAACTGCTTGTGATCGTCGGGGGCATGCTGCTGATTGACCTGTGCATCTTGATTTGCTGGCAGGCTGTGGATCCCCTGAGAAGGACGGTGGAGAAGTACAGCATGGAGGTAAGCGCAGGCACCACAGGAGGGAGGCCTGCAAACGCTGCTCCCAGACACATGGGTACAGAGGCAGCCCGTCTAGTCGGCTGCCCACAGTACACTCCTTGAGAAGAAATCAAGATTGTCACAGGTCCACATGGGCCCACATTCTCTATCAGGAGCACCTCATTATGTCTGCTTTCTTCCATTTGAGACAAACATTATTTCAGGAAGGCCAGATAAATGGTCTTCACTCCTGGGGGCAGTGGTGAAAGAATTTGTCTAGGTATATTGATATATGCAGAATTAAGGGGAAATGATTTTGCTGATGTGAATATATTTTCTACACATTGTAGAAATCTCCATTTATATGATCTTCTGGTCCAGAAATTACATTGCATTGTTATTCTCATCTTTAAAATCAGTTCTCTAACAAGTGCTCCTAGGGAATAAGCATGCTGAGAGCTCCTTTGAGTTACTATATGATTTTCAAAGTGATAAACAATAGACTTCTTTTCCCACATTTGATATCAGAAATTTGTTTGTTAGAACAAAGAACCTTACATAAAAGTACTGTTAAACATATATTGGAATAGCCTTGCCCTTCACTCAGTGATCTTCCCAGGATACTCAAGATTAGGGAAGCATATTTTTGTTGATTTTCTCTGAGACAGTTAAAGATGCCCTAGATAGAGAAAGCCCGCTGCACAGGGTGTGTTGTATGCTGTGATTTCTCTGTGGAGTAGTAAATTCTGATGAGAAAATTGGAATTTTTTCCATTTCTCCTACTGCATGGTTAGGGAAAAAATTTTGTGGCTTTCAGTGTGATTTCTTAAACTAACCTGGAAATCATTGTTTTATGCATTGGGGCCAGAAGTTTTTATCCTTCTGGACAAGAAGGTTTTTTAGCAAAGATGATGCCCAGCATCGTTTGTCTGGAGACGGACAGGGTTTGCTCAGCACAGTGAGAAATGATGCAGTTAGAGTGGGGGCCGAGGACGCAGTTTCTAACAGCGTGGATTTAGGAGGGGGATTTAGGGCTGTTGCCTTCGTCCCGTTGCTTTAGGTGTACATCCTGGGAGGAAGCAGACCCAACAGACCCAGACAGATCCCATACTGGCTGTGCCTATGGATCAAGGGGCAGGAGCTCAGCTGAGGTCACCTGGGTAGCAAGCTGTTTCCAGAAGGGAGGTGCTATCTGGTCACCATTCATCCCCACAGGTGGCAAAGGAGCAGTCCTGCACCCCACCCCACCCCAAGGGAATTCCTCATCCACCACCTGCTGGGCAGTGTGATCCTATTTTAATGATGAGAAAACAGCCTGGCTGGCATGGCTCAGTGATTAAGCGTCAGTCTATGAACCCGAAGGTCACAGCTCAATTCCCAGTCAGGGCAAATGCCCAGGTTGCTCCCCAGTGGCGGGTGTGTGTGTGTGTGTGTGTGTGTGTGTGTGTGTGTGTGTGTGTAAGCAGCTGATCAGTGATTCTCATTATTGATGTTTCTATCTCCTTCTCTCTCTCTTCCTTTCTGAAATCAATAAAAATGTTTTTTATCTTATGAGGAAACAAACCCAGAGAGGCTATATAATTTAACCAAGATTACTCAGCAGGTTAGTGGCAACAACACTGACTACCCTCTCATCCACTACCCTACCCTGCTTTTCAACACATGACAGCACTTTGCATTTTTAGGTTTATTCATAGACCTTTGGTCATTGGCCACAGATCTATGAAGCAAGTAGGACAGGGGAATACTTCCACATTCTGCAGATGAGGACTAAAATTACAGTCATGGACCGACTGAGGAAAGAAAGAGAAGAAAGAGAGGCCAGTCGAAAGAGCCCTAGGGAAGACCTGGAGTGGGGCAGATGGACAGAAAACAGATGCTTGATGCTGAGCCCAAGGGCAAGTGAGGACATGGGGCACGGCTACCTTCACTCAAGGTTAAGGTGGGGCCTGGGCATTCACTAGGGATCCCCAAGCTCCGGCTGTGGTGGGGAGAGGCTATGGAGCTGGAGTCAGCCTGAGTCAGCAGACTCCGGAAATGGATCTAAGAAGCCTGTCCCCCTGGACCTTTTCAAGGCGGTTAGCCTTACACAGTCCGATTCGTACAAGTGATGGTTTGCCGTCATCGTCTTCCCTTTGTTCCTTCCTTTCTATAATAAGTCCTGCTGCTCTCAAGCTCTGTGCATAGAACGCTAGCCCTTATCAGACCTTCCAGAGCAATGTTCTCAAACTGAGGAGCTGAGGGCTGCCGTGGAAGTGCCTCTCTGTGTAGAGAGAAAACTGGGTCTGGGATAGGGGAGGGTCCCACCCGGGCATCCAGACCTTCTCAGGCCAGGCTGGTGGAGAGCCAGCTCTGGCTCTCAACTCAGATGCCCTGTCTCCTTCACTTATCTGCTGAGATTCCTCTCTGAACCTTTTCTGGCCTGCTCCTCTTTTTCTCTTATTTTAGGGTTGCCCTGTCACTCTGTTGCCATGGTAGCAGAACTCTTTGATTTGTTGAACCACAGGCCTGTCGATTTATTGTTGTTTATCCACCAAACAGCGCTAAGCTGTCATTTGTTTTCTATCAGACCCCCGTCTGTCAGACACAGTGTAATGATTGAGCAACATGCCCAGGGGGCGAGGAGTCCAAAATTCTCCTCTCGGGGCTGTTTTTTCTAGGACCTTCACTTGGGGGAGAGGTGGTCAGAGATCTTTGTGGTCCGTTCCCTCTTCCCCTCGCCTGCCTCAGATGCCTTAGATTGTTCTGGATACTCTGAACACATCAGGATTCCACTCACAGCCCTTGCTCTGTGTTTCATTTTCAAGCCTGTGCCCATGCTTACCCTTTCTGGGATCTTCAAGTAAATGAACTTCAGTTCCAGGCCCCTGTGTTACCACTGCATTTACAAGCCTGCATTTCCTTACTCCCATCCCCAGCATCCTGAACATTCCTCTGTAGGGACATTTCACATGCTGTTCATCTGTGCTGAGTGCATCCCTGACTCACCCCACCCACCCTTGCTGGACCACCAGCTTCTCCAGGGCCGGGAAACTTCTAAGCAATCTCCCTCACTGCCCAGCCCAGCACCCCACACACATCTTCCATCTTCCACTGGGGAGATCCAGGTGAGCACAGCAGCCATAGCCTTCGATTTTATGTTGCCCACAGGCTAGTGGGTGCTCAAAAACATGCAAACAAATAATAATTATTTTAGATTCCATAGGTTCTGATAAAAAAAAAAAAAAGAAAGAAAGAAAGAAACAGAATGAAGGGTTTGAAAATAACAGGGAGAACCCATGGAGGCGATTCTCCCAGTGAGAGTACATGCAAGTATCCAAAAGATGAAAATCAGATTCTGAAGACCTGTTAGAGGCCTCCCAGTGCCACATCCTCATGCATTGTCATGCAATAAACATTTACACAGCTTCTGTTACGAGCCAGGTATATTGTGTCTCAGTCTATGTCTTGTCTTTTCATTCTCTTAACATTGTCTTTTGCAGAGCAGAAATTTTTTATTTCAATAAATTACAACTTATCAATAATTTCTTTCATGGATCATGCTTTTGCTGTTGCATCTAAAAATTCATTGCCAAACCCAAGGTCACCTAGATTGCCTGCTGTTATCTTCTAGAAGTTTTATAGTTTTGCATTTTACATTTAGGTTTCTAATCCATTTTGCATTAATTTTTGTGAAAGGTGCGAGGTTAGTGCCTAGATTCATTTTTATTCACAAAAAAATGCCTAGTGGTTCCAGCCTTGTGTCTTGAAAATACTCCCTTTCTCTGCTGAATTGCCTTTGCATCCTTGTCATTGGTCAGTTAACTGTATCTGTGTGGGTCTCTTTCTGGGCTCTTTATTCTGTTTCACTGGTTTACTTGCCTATTCTTTCACTAATACCGCTCTGTCTTGATTGCCATAGTTTTATAGTAAGTGTTAAAGTTGAATAGTCCCAAAGTTTTCTGATTTTGTTCTTCAATGTGCTAGCTGTTCTGGGTCTTTTGCCCCTCCATCGAAACTTTAGAATCAGCTTGTTGATGTCCACAAAGTAACTTGCTTTGTTACTGGGATTGCACTGAATCTGCATAAACCAAGCTGGGAAGAACAGACATCTCAACAATATGGAGTCTTCCTATCCGTGAACATAGAATATCCTTCCATTTATATAGATCTAGTTTGATTTCTTTTATCAGAGTTTTGTAGATTTCCTCATATAGATCTTACACATATTTTGTTAGATTTATACCTAAGTAATTTTGGTTTTGATGCTAATATAAATAGTACTGTTTAAGTTCAAATTCCAATTGTTCCTTTCTGGTTTATAGAAAGGCAATCAACTTTTGTATGTTGAGCTAGGATTCTACAACCTCATTGTAATTGCTTATTAATTCCAGGAGGGTTTTTTGTTGATTTTTTGGGACTTCCTACTTAAACAATCAGGTCATCTGCAAGCAGTTTTATTTTTTCCTTCCCAGTCTGTATACCTTTTATTTTCTTTCTTGTCTCATGTTTGCATTAGTTGGAACTCCCACTATAATGTTAAATAGGAGTTGTGAGAGGGGGCATCCTTGCCTTGTTCCCAATTTTAGGGAAGGCATCTAATTTCTCTCTATTAAGCATGAAATATAAAATAGCTCTGCTGGCCAAAGCCAAGAGTACCTTTGGGGAAGTGACAGGGAAGGCAGATGATGCAGACAGAGCAGACCATGTGTGCTAAGCAAAGAAGTTAAAACTTCAAAGTTAAAGACAATTAATCAGGAAGGTGACATGATCAGATTTGTCCTGGCTGCAGAGTGAAAACAGATGGGGAGGTGAGGCTGGAGTCCAGAGACGGCTCAGAGATGGTCTTTGCTATAATCCAAGTAGGAACTGATGGCGACTCAAAGCAAGGCAGTTGCAATGGAACAAAAAGAAGTAGGTGGATTTGAGATATATTAAGTAAGCAAAGTAAGCAGGCATGACAAAGCTTGATGATTGATTGACTCTAAGGGATAGTAACTTGGAGGCAGCAAGGACAATGCCCAGATCTCTGGCTGGTTGGT